AGTTGAAATGTGAGGAGTGTTTTCCCATCTACTCATACAGAGTATCTTAGCCTAAGATATGATTAGTTCCCACTCCATCCCTATAGTCTTATACACACACACACACACACACACACACACACACACAAAGGGGGGTGCAGCGCTTCCAGGTCAACTCACCAATCAGAGGCTGGACCAAAGCATAACCACCCCATTCAGCATTCAGCATCCAAACATCAGCACACAGACTCTGTTCCCAAACCCTGGAGCTCATGGCCCAAGCTCATGGCTTGTGACCTCTGGCACAAGCACTCATAAATTCAGGCCAGATGTTCTTTTTGAAACCAGAGCAAGAGTAATCATAACCCACTCTGAAGGCTCACTGCATTTATTATAAAGGGGAGCGAAGAGAAGATGTGGTCCGTTTTATTTGACTCAAATCTACCTAACTTTCATTGTTTGCCTCTGCTTCGGGTCCCAAAGCACTATTCCAAGGCCGAGCTGAAATTACATTTCTGGATTAATAATGAGAGCAGAAAAATCAATCACATCTGCCCTGGGAATGAACCCAAAACCAAAAGCAGCCACACAGAGGAATTTGTGAGTTGAGCTTAGAGTCAACTTTAATCCTGAAGGAAATGAACCTTTAAGAAAATTCAAATAACCATCTACGTAGACAAAACATTAATCTACGCTGCCCTAATAAATTTGGGGCTTTTAAAAGTCCTTCCCTTCCATGGACATTTGGCAGAGCAGAGCTGTCCTGATAAGATGCAGGAGGCCAATAGCAGCATAATAGAGCCAAGCCAGCACCAGCCCTCGCTGCACCACCTAAGGAACATCTGCATATTCACTTTCTCCATCAGGATTGAGTCAGCCTCCCTCCAGCACACCTGAGCAGAGCTGGCTAGTCCTGGAGGCTTTTAGATTTGGAAAAAACCTCACTAGTGACTGAAGGGGAAAAGCTCTGTACTGAGCTACAACAGCTCCACTCATCCCCTGGGGAGGAGCTATCACCAAACAAGGTTAGAGCAAGGCTGGCATGCTCACGATGGAGTACCCAGAGGCTGAGTTGCTCTGCGCCCAAGCAGAGGAGCCAACAGCAGCACGGCCTCTGAAGTTGCAGCAGCATGTCTCACACAAAGAAAGACACACAGAGAGGCACATGTGTGATTCTAAAACTCCAAAGAGCCACTGGGAAAAAAAAAGTGAAATTAACCCTTGGCATATTTTCTTAAACTCAATATAACTAAAAAATTGTAACTTAATCTCTAAACATTCCCAAACAGAATATTTTACCATTTTCATACCAACATTCTCAGAAATCAAGAACTGTGTGGCAATTACAATACACCTGAATTCAGACATATCACATTTCAGACACTCCCTGGCACAGGACGAGCAGTTACCACAATAAACGGCACCAGAGTGTTCATCATAACTGATGCTGCTGAAGAAACACAAAGGCTCCAAGACCTACTGCAGCACTGACCGTCAAGACCCCGAAGAGTACATAACATGTGGGTGTTACTGGCCACAAACAAAGCCCAAGAAAAAGAAACTTTCCTCACTGCAAATCAATGATGAACCAAGCTGGAAGCCGTTTCTGTTCACCTGGAAGTCTAGAGCCATGAAGGGCCGAGTTTCCTGCTCGGCCACTTACAGAGCAAAACTGTCCTGCTCCTGCTGTCCTCACTAAGGGCAGTGCAAACTCCCAACTCCTCATGTAGTGCAAACCCATGCTAGTTGCTTCTTCCATATAACCTTGCCCATTCTCTCAGGGCGGTCTCCCACTAATCCGGTACAACCCTCCTTGCCTATCAAATGCTGGCCAAGCAGCCCATCCTTCAACTACAGCTGGGAGCCATGGGGGAATTATAAACAGTTGTAGCAGGCTCTTAGGTACAGGCAGAGAGGCGGCACACTGACAGCGAACCCTTCACACGGTGTGAACTTCTAACCTCAGAATCACCGGTGAAGTTCCCAAGAAGGGAAAACAAATCACAAAATCCTAAAATAATAAAATTAAAAACTGAAGTTTTGAGCATTAAAGGGACTTCAGTGGTCTTTATCCTTAAAAGATAAAAACATAAAAGGCACCTCACAGAGCCCACTTGATACAGAAAAAGAGACCACAGATTTGAAACTCAATAACCCTAGATTAAAACATGAACCCAATCGCTATATCAGCTAAGGACAGATAATTTAATTCTTTTAAGTATGCATTTTGCATCATCATCTAAAAAGAAGGATACTCAATAGGTTAGACCCCTAATAGAAAATATGCAATTAACACATTAAGATGCTAACACATCTAACTCCTGAGTTGAAGCTCTGCTCATTCCTGTCAATTATGTAGAGCTCAGAGCTCTAAAGGCAATAAAAACAGGACTCCTGGGAAACAAAACTACCTCTGTATTCTCAGCATTGGCAGAAGCCAGCCATTAAATGCAGCTACCAACGTCTGTTATAGCGGCTCAATCCCTACAACTCCTCCTCTCCACCACCGCAAGCACCTAATAGGTCTGTATAGCTGTGGAACACATCACAGTGAAAGGCAGCCCGAGGAGAGCAGGAGCTCAGCCTGCAGAGACGGAGAAGGCTTCCTGGGAGGAGAGCACCTGAGTCAGGCAGGGAGAGGAACAGGGGAGACCTGAGAAAGGAAAGCTGAGGACCGGATGTGGAAACACCCGTGTGCAGCAGACAGGACTATTGGGCAGAATTGCTAGGGTGAAAAGAGCTGATGGATGCACATGGAGAAGACTGGAAACTTAACAGACACGAGGTGTGGCACTTCTCACAGCCAAGGAAGAGCTTGGACTTCATTTAAAGATGAACACAGCCTTGTTGTTGGAAATCAAAGTGTGAGTGAAGGAGACAAACCAGAGGCTGAGGGTCATTGAATAACAGTGATCAGAAGAAATAAACACTGCCTGAGGAAACTTCCCCATTACCTCCGCTGCCCTTTCTACAGGCACAAGGAACCTAGAGAATGACATTCTGAAGAGAAGATTGCCATTGCAGGAAGGCACTCAATGGACACCGGTGTTAAACATGATTCTCGGAGAATCCTTCCCTAACATGGCACTTCCAGAACCAAGGTTAGAGCAGGCAGCATCAGGGGAAGAGTCAGTTATGAAGTTACAATGCCAGTTACTGAGCCCTGTCAACAGGAGCCTAATGCCCATGGACAGAGGTTAGAACAGAGCCAAGGTCAACAAGCATTCATCCCAACCCTGTACACGACATCTTCAGAAAGACAGGGTCCAATATTAGCAGTGACTATTTCTCACATAATTAACTTCCTGACAGTTTTAAAGATGGAAGAGAAAATGGTTTCTGAAAAATCTGCTATAGGAATGGTAAAAGCTAGAGGGAAGAAAACCTGACAGGGGTGTTAGGAGTGATGTCCCAGGAACGGGACATTGTGAAAAAACTGCATAAGCCCAACTCTAGACCTGTGGGAAAGAGCTGAAAAGAACAGGGATTAGAAGTAGAATTACGGGCTCTTCCAGAAAACAATCACACCACTAAGTTTTAAATCCTCTTTAGACTTTCTTATCCATGGTCTATAGTACTGATGCACTCTAAATAATTATATATTTCAGATAAGGGAAAGCAGTTCAGAGACCCAGAGCCCTGGCTGCTTCCGGCAGGAGATCAGGTTTCTCACTCCTCCCTCTTCTGCATTAAGCCAATCAACTTCTCTCAAAACGCGGTCAGTTTAGACCATTGAGATCTTGCAACGAAGAAAGGCTCCTGTTACACAAGCCTAATGTTCAGAGTTCAATCCCCAGGACCTATATGATGGAAAGAGAGTATAAAGACACAACTGGGATGTGTCCTCTGACCTCCAGATGATGCTATGGCATATGCACTCCCCCCTACACACACACACGCACACGCACACGCACACACACAAGTTCGTGTACACAAATACATAGAAATGTGATGGCCAGGACAGGACTGAGTCCCACTGCATAGTTCTGGATGCCCTGGAACACGCTTCATAGACCAGCTGGCTCAAACTCACAAAGATTTCTACCTCTGGCCCAAAGTGCTGGGATTAAAAGTATGCACCACCATGCTGGACGTAATTAATATTTTAAAGACTCTTCATTCAGCTCTTCATCTATTAACCAGTTTCTACTTATCTCTACATCAGTCACAGATAAACAGGTCAACATGAACAGAATCTAAAGACAAATGTCTGCATAAGATCACTCACCTTTCAAAAAATGGGTTACAACCCTAAGGAATACAAGAAACTTCAAAAAGGCTGCAGATTTAAGCAAAACTGATCTACTCATGTCAGTTGTAGGAAAACACTTTAAAATCACTGTGCAAAACGGATACATACAAAAAAGGAAGAAGACATAGTAGAAATGATGTCGCTGAGAGTCCCTGCCCACTGCCCCGGCAATGAGATAGGACAGAAGTCTGTCCAAGATAAACCATAGGCTCTGGGTTCTTACGGTATGCACAGTTTGTTGTGCATTAAAGTATGAGTTTTTTTCCTCTCTTAAATATCTATTGAGAGCCGGGCATGAGAGTGGTGGCGCATGCCTTTAATCCCAGCACTTTGGAGGCAGAGGCTGGTGGATTTCTGAGTTTGAGGCCAGCCTGGTCTACAGAGCAAGTTCCAGGACAGCCAGGGCTACACAGAGAAACCCTGTCTCGAAAAACCAAAACAAAAACAACAACAACAACAACAACAACAACAAAATACCTATTGAGCATGTTCTGTGTCCAGACCACATTTTCGACAGATGCTAAATTCTGCTCTCCAACCCAGAACAGTGCTTGTCCCAACTCTGAGCTCAGAGCTCTTGCCCAGTGGTGCCTGTGAACATACACTTCAGAGAATCATGGGAGAGCCCCACCACTCCATCACTCACCATCACTCCGTCATCAGAGTGAGTGCCAGGCTCCACTCACTCTGACAGCTAAGCACCCTGTGGTAACATGAACACGATACCCACTTTGCTAAGAGTTTCGCCTGCCAAGTGACCTGCACCTACCGGTCCACTGAGGGGGGCAGCGGCAGTTGTAAGTATTGACGCCATCCACACAAACCCCTCCATTCTGACACTTGTGGTTAGGGCAGTCGTCAATATTCCGCTCACAGGTGCTTCCTTCAAAACCTGGTCAGAGAAGAACAAAAGGCAATGAGAATCTGACAGCACAGTGTTCTGCTGTCACTAGCAGGACATGGTCACAGGACAGACCTGCTTCACAATTTCAGTACACACCCCAGCAGCTGCTGCACAAGAAGTACCCAGTCCTCTACTCCTTGGCCTTAAGCACAGCTAGACAATGAAAATGACTCGTTATGCTTCCTGCATTCACAGGTACCCCATACTTATTTCTGTGGACTAAAATCAGAGAAGACAACTGTATACTTGGACAACCACTAACTGGTTCCAAACACCAGGGCATTGGATTTTCCGCAGCTCCTTTCTAGATTCCTAAAAAGAACAGCTCGATCAATCAATGATTAAGTAATTCAGTCTTTGGGGCTGCACACACAGCTTGATGGTAGAGTGCCTATCTAGGGGACACAGGCCCCAGGCCCACAAAAAAAAAGGACAGAGAGAGATTGGAGGGAAGCGAGAGGAAGCTGGGAATGAGAGGGAAGTGGGGGAAGAAAGAGAGGGAGAGATAGAAACTGGACATTTCTGTGAAGGGAAAAGAGGAGCACTGAAGCTAAAGGAGGAGCACTGGACCTAAGGGGGAGCACTGGAGCCAAAGGAGGAGCACTGGAGCTAAAGGATACAAGTGAAGAGGGACAGCAGGCTGGGGAATATGCAGGGGAGGCAAGTTGGGGGAATGCAGGGAAAGCCAGTCAGAGACACATACGGGAGGTGGGTTGGGGTACATAGTAGAGGAGATCAATCAAATGAAAAAAAAAAAGGAACCCATGTTTTCACATGCTGGTTTTAAAAAGGAATGAAAATACTGTAAGGACTTAAATAACTAACTCAAAAAATATTTTAGTGAACAAATGAATTGGAGGAGAATACAGAGTTGTAACAACAAGATTTAAGTCTCTCTCTCTCTCCTTGGGCAATAGGTCAGAGGATTCCAAAACTCAGTGGGTGGGAGGACACAGGAGAGACAATGAACTTGAGGTAGGAGGGGCACAGCTGAGTCACAGCGTCCCCACCTGAAGCTGTTCAGTGCACAGCATTACCCACGCTGAGTCAGCGGCAGTCAGTCGGTAAGGAGTCTGAACCCACCTGCCCAGCCTGCCTTTCTGGACTGGTAAGTGCCACCTTGGGAATAAAGTCCTCCACGGTAACACAGGCTTTGGGAGAGGTGGCATTGGTAGTGACTAAAACTGCCAGTGTTCCAAACTTCCTGCTCCTCTCCATAGGAAGGCCACACTGCTTGGCTTCCACGTTCGCAACTCTAGCATACTATGCCTCACCCCAACTGCCTGCAGGTGGTTCTCAGTCATTGTCTCTGAGCGTCTCTCCTTCCTTGTGTGACGAAACCTCTGAACTAATGAAGAGAAGCCTTATCAGCTCTAAGCAGGGTAGCCAGTGAGTACAAACTCAAAGTACTGTGTGACAGAACATTTGGATTTCCCAAAATATCTCTTACAGCTTTTCTCATTCCAAACACTCACTGTGTTTTACACTAGATCCTGGGGTACCACAGAGTGATAGGCAGAAGCCCTGCTTTTGGGGTACAGACTTCAATCAAGCCTTGCTCTGTTCTTTCCTTTAGCACTAGCTACTATGGACTCTACATCTGACTTGCTGTGCTGAACCATGACTGGTTATCAGACTATATGACAGTCACGTAAATGAGTTTAAATCAAGAAGACAGACCCAGAAATCACTTTATAGAACATAGAAATAATGAAAAGCTGTGGAAGTATATACTTACATTTTTAAAAATTATCAAATGACTTCTGTTTCTGTCTATTACATGAAAGTCTTACACGTGGACCAGTGCACAGGAAGATGCAGAACTGCTAAAGCACATCCCTACGTAATGATAAAGGGAGGCTTCTGACTGCATCTCTGCCAGGCAGCAGTTGGAAATGAGAGCCTATGGCCACATTCCTGAGTTGATGATCGTCCTGAAGCCATTTTTCAGCAAGGTTCAGGTTAGGCTTTTAATGGTGGGCAAGAGCTGGCCTACCACTACCGGAACTTGTGTAGCCTGCTGATACTAAGGAACTTCTGAAGGTCACAGTCTTGGTTGGACTTTTTGTCAATTTGACACAAGCTAGAGCTATATATAGGACTAGGACTCTTAATTGAGAAGATGCTTCCATGAGACTGGCATGTAACCATGTCTGCGGGGCATTCTCTTGATTAATAATTTGGTGTGGGAGCGCCCAGGTCACTGTTGAAGGTGACACACTTACACTGGCTCCCAGGTAGAGACCCACAGAACAGAACATGGAGTCAAAATGTCACCCACCTGAGAAATACACGATGGCAAGACTGTGGGATAGACTACGAGGCAGCAAGAAAAGGTAAGGTGAGCCAATGCCTTCTACTCTGCTGCAGAGCATCAAAGTCACACTGAGTGAATAGGGCCAGACTGCCCACACAGTATGTGTTTTCCTCTATATAAAATGTCCTCAGTAGGTAAATAGAGTCACAAAGGCCATCAGCAATTGCCAAGCACTGGAGGGAGTTACGAAGAATGGGCGGCATATGGCAGCCGGTGTGTGGATCTTCTGCAGTGTGAGAACATTACAAAATTGACTGTGGAGATGATGACACAAATCTGTAAGTCTAGTAAGAGCCACAGAACTGTACATCTATAAGAAGAACTGTATAGTGTGTAAATTATCTCTCAATAAACCTGTCAGTCTAGGGAAGGTTCTTAAACATATGAACTCATACCATTTTGCATGCAGGAGATTAGAGCATCCGCTGGAGATCATCTCCTTTAAGCTCTGTATATTATAAATGTGGAAAGCTGAGGGAACTGGGCTGGGCTCACTAGCCCAGAATTCCATGGCTGGTCAGCAGCACCCAGGAGGGGCTGAGCACTGCCCAGTATTAGTCAGGCTGTTGTACGAGAGCCCAGAGCTTACCTTCAACAACTTGAAAAACAGATCTTAGGTCAACAGTCCCCAGATCTGAGCAAACTCAAGCCACATTCATTCCTCCCCCAAGTAAGACATGATTGACACTTTTAAAATAGAGATGCAGAGACAAATAGTAACATTAAAACAACTAAAGAGCTAGAACTCTTTCTGAAAAGGGCTAGCAAGTTCTCGAAAGAAACTGTCCATCCACAAGTAGGGGCAGGACAGTAAGTTACAGCCACATCTCTTTAAAATGTTTCAAGTCTGTAGGAGGAGTAATGCACAGATCAGATGCAGGAGTAGGTGGATGCATCAGTCACAGAAGGACTCACACGGCCACACTAAAGGGTTCACTGCTGAAAGCCAACTCCAGTCCTTAAAAGGCCAAAAGGAGAAAACTAAACTCAGAAGGGCCATTTTAAGACTGTGCCTTCAAGAAACTGTGGGCCACTCTGCTGAACAACATTCGCAGTGAGGGACACATCGTTCCAGGCAGCCCTCTCAGGAGAGTCGGTGTCTTCCTGTCTTCAGGCCTTTTCAATGACAGTGGAGGGCAGCTGGGAGAAGAAGAGAAGCAATGGGCTGACACTCAGGCCAGACTGAGAGACTGAGGAATAATGGAAAGCTGGGGATGTGGAGCTGGACAAAAGCCAAAAAGAGATGCCATTTTTTTCCTGGAAAGATATCTCACAAAGTCGAAGCTGTGGGGTACGATCAGAACATGCAAGAGAAAAGTGTGTGTTCCTGAGTGTGAAAATGGTAGAGGGAACCACTGCTGGTTGTACTTCTGCTCTGCAACAACAGAGCACAGAGAAGTGTGAGGTCTTTACTCTGTCAGGGAGATGATATATACTCAGCCTGCACAGCATACAGGCCCTTGCACCTTTACAAGAAAAAGCTTGCACTGACAGCAGTGGGCATTTCGAGAAGTCACTGTATAGCGAGAAAAGGAAAAGAAAGCCAGTACCTTCCAGTACCTGCTCCAACTGTGAACATTTCTCTCAATGTTGCACAAACTGAATCACTTTTGTGGTGTGAATTCCTTCCTCCTGGGTCCTGCAGTGCTGCAGTCAACACGGTAACCACAGTGCTCTTTGCAGGAAAAAACTGCACCTTAACCATACAGACAGAATCACTAACTTATGTGCTTCTCTCCAATGTTCAGAACTGAAAACTCTCAAAATCACTTTTATTCAGTATTAGAGTGTCCTTGGACAAAAGCAGCCAAACCTGAGATGCAGGATTCCAGACAGGAAATGAGATCAGTTACAACCGCCATCCTGACAGGATTCTACACTCAGTCAGCCGGTCAAGTGTTTGTGGGCCTGTTCCATACGAGCCCTGTTTTCAGGTGTTTGGGACAGTGATCAATAAACAAAAACAAGGATCCTGACCTTCAGTCGAGCTTAGAAACAACAGGCAATAGCCAACAGGCATAATGAGGGAAATAACAGAGTACAAATTATACAGTAGAACTCTAAAGAAAACAAAGACTTAGGCCAGGGCCAGTAATTGAGGGTCTGGAGGGGATGGCTATAATTTTAAACAGAGTGGTCAGAGTACGATTAGAAGTGCAAAGACCTGCACTGTAGCAGGAAACAGCATCGCAGGGGATGCAGGAGACCTTGTGCCCCACTGACTCAGTTTCCCCACAGTGACAACTGAAATGACAATTCTAGCAGGCTGGGGGTGCTAACACACAGAGATTCCTATTCTAGCAGCCTCTCAATCCCTGTCCAGAGCAGGGGCGAGGAAGGGGATGTGACAAGGGAACTACAGTAAGAAAGAACTGTGACCATTCTCCAGGGAAACCTGAGAGAGCACTGCCCAGACCTCTCCTGGGATGGAAGAGAGCATGAGGTCTTCCACGCTCTGGAAAAGCCTACCTGCTCACAGTGCTGTGCACCACCCACTCCTTCTATACATACAGAAGGCAGTCATCTGTCCCAGATCACGTGATCCCAAAAGGCAAGCACTAGTCTGGTGAATTATGTCCTCTGTGCTGTGTGCCATACACCTGGGCTTTTGCAAAACAAACACCAATGGCTTACAATGGAAGTGTCTTCTTTTCCTCTTAAGTAAACTACTTTTAATTTTAATCCAAACTGCTCAAAACATGTAATGAGATGTCAAACACTGCAAAGCAGCCTCAGAAGCACACGAGCAGTGTGACGGCCACCAGGTATACCGGGCACAGGCTTTGGAAATGACCTGCCTGGGCTCCAGGGGCCGGCTTCTATAGGTAGTATCAGCTGTGCAACTCTCAGTAAGTGACTTACCATGCCAGACTCCAGATACTTCCCCTGAGAAAACTCAAAAAATTAACTGCAAAGTATTAGAGATGTGTGCACACACATGCATGAACGTACACACACACACACACACATACATGTACACATGCACACACATGCATACACACACACCCCAAGCACAGCATGAAATACAGCCAAACCTCCTTACTCCGCCACTCCAGCCCTGGCAGTCCACTGGCTGCGGAATCCCTGGTTATTTCCTTTCTCAAGGAGGAGCCGCTATTCTCATTTGACAAGCCTTTCCTGGACTCTCTCAGAATTCCCTGAGGTGCTTTATCGTGCCTAGCGGATAACAATGCAGAACAATTCGGGTGAATAATCACTCTCCCAGCTAAAGACTTCCTTTATTGACCTCTTTAACTTCCTGTCAATATCTTGCTGCCAAACCAGCCAACTGTTCTAGGCAATTATTAAAAGCAGTTTTCTTGAAGCTGAAAAGGGCACACGGCTCCAGCCACAAATCACACTGACTTCAGTAATGAGCCGCTTGGGCCATTGCATTCGATTATTAGAATGCTTGCAATATTAAAATATCTACAAAGGAAGTTGTTTATATTTCTATTTCTGTTTTTAGGTCTTAAAATGCAAACAAATCCAAGTGCAAAGAAAGATATCTTAGTCTTTCCTTCTACATGATAATATAGGTGATAGTAATTCTTACTAAACATTTATTTAGCTTCTAGAATGATAGTGTTATCTATTCCTGATTGAAAGAGAAACTAAAGGAGTATGATTAAATGTACTTCCGTATGTCTTGGCTAAGTGGCTGGCTTGACTTAGGGCTCTGACACACTGCTTTCTGTGGCTCGGGCACAGCAGTCAGTCAGTAAAGTTTTACCAAATTAAACAACAAACTGGGTCTAGAGCTGCGACAGAGCGGCGGCAGAGCAGCGACAGAGCGGCGGTAGAGCGGCGATAGAGAGCGGCACCAGTGCAGCGGTAGAGCGGCGGTAGAGCCACAGAGCAGCGACAGAGCCGCTGTAGAGCGGTGGTTCTCAGCCTGCGGGCGGTCGCAACCCCTTTGTGGTCACCTTGCACATCAGATATTTACATTAAGGTTCATAACAGTAGCAAGGTTACAGGAGTGAAGTAGCAATGAAATAAGTCTACGGCTGGGGGTCACCATAAGATGAGGAACTTTCCTAAAGGGTTGCAGCATTAGGAAGGTTGAGAACCACTGCTCTAAAGAGAGGGCTTAATGGTTAAGAGCCCTTGCTGGTCTGGGTGAGGATCCAGGTGCAGTTCCCAGCACCCACAAGGTAGCTCACAAGTACCTGTAACTTCCGTTTTGGGGACTAGAACGCCCTCTTCTGACCTCCTTGGCCACTAGGTACACATGTGGTGTACAGACATACATGTACTCAAAGCACTCTTAAACATAAAATAAATAAATCAAAAAAAGTTTCAAATAAATTGTCATCTGGTTTTATACTAAGGATTGACCTATGACCTTTAAGCTCCTAAAGATGAAACACACAAGCCCATTATATGTGAGCCATACTCTCAACACCGGAATCTAGGATTCCCACTCAAAGAATGACTGAAAAACTTCTTTTGGAGGCAATCCTGCTTACTTCACACATTGCACACACACCCCACACACAGTTTTCTCTTTGTTTTTGTGCTAAGGGTATTTGTATAAAAACAGACTCTTCGTTGCTTAGGAATTCATCTGCTCCAGCTGCTTATGCTCTGTTCCCAATCAAAATTCTTGCTTTTCAGCATCCTCATTACTTTTATATGGAGTGAAGTGAGCTGGCCAGACTTGCTCCTTTCTCCCTCTAAGGATCACCAGGCTCTTGGCCCCCAAACACACCTCCTCTGTACTTCAGAGTTGGGTTGTGTGAGTACCTAGGGACCTGAGCACTCAGGAGAATGGCAGTGTTGTGTCGTGATTAGTTTCCCCCATGATGTCAATCAGAGTCTGTCAGAAAACACCTTGGTTAGCTTCTTTCAAGTCTCCAGACTCTCCATGACGTCTAAGGGCCACCCCCTCGTCAAGGTGAAAGGGTCAACTCCTATGTTAAGGTAGGAAGAACTACCCTCCCCCCAAGTCAAGGAGAGAACACAAGAAGTAACTATTCTGCTGGGGGCAGAAGCATAAAAGAGCAGATCCTCCCGTCCCTGTCTTGGTGTCACTTTGGATAATGTTTAACACACACACGCGCACACACACACACACACACACACACACACACACACACACGTATGGTTCTCACAGTCTTCTCCACTCCAGATCTGCCTGACCCTTTCTTGGAGCTGTTTCTCCAAAAGGGACAATAAACAATTTCCTAAGCAGTCATCGTCATAAACTCTTGACATGTTAAATTACCCCCTGCTCTATTTATGGACCACAGTGAGCCCATAAAACCCCTCCCTCACTAGCAACCCACCCCACACAAAGCTCTCACTTCCCCTTTCCCCTGCTTTCTTCCTAAAGGAGGTTCTAAGCCTCTCACTCCCTCCACCATCATCCTAAGGTTGGTTTGTCCCTACTCCTGAGAGCCGAGAGAGAGTTCCTCACCTGGCAGACAGTTGCATTCAAAAGTGAAGTCACCAGTTTGACGGCAGGTACCTCCATTGACACAGGGCGAGGGTGCACAGGGCACATAAGGGCTGTCACAGTGCTGGCCTGTGAAGCCCTGGGGGCACTGACATCTGTAAGAACCAGGAAGGTTGAGGCAGGTGCCACCATGTTGGCAGAGTCCTGGAATGTCACACTCATTGATATCAGCTTCACACTTCTGGCCTGTGATGCCTGCAGGACATCTGCAGGAGAACTGGCTGGCCACAGAGGTACAGGTGCTTCCATTTTCGCAGGGATGAGACAAACAGGCATCTGCCCACTGACAGTGCTTCCCTAAAGGAAGGGTAACAGAAGTCAGTACCACTCAGCCACTCAGCAGCTCCCTCTCCCAGCCAGTGAACAACAACCTGCCTACATGGAGACCACTAGACTTTAGATTCTACAGAGCATAGCAGTGTCACCTGAAGATCTTCAGATAAACGGTGCTTTTCAGAAGCTCTCTGAACATTAAGGTGAGACTCAAAGACTCAGGGGACAGAGGACATGAGGGAAATGAGTGTTGGCTACATGAAGCCAGCAGGATTCCATCAGTCCTGTGGCCCAGGGTCTGGACCCACCTGCTCTCCTGGCTCCCGGTCATTGATGAAGCTGCTCCTCGGGTGGGAACACCTCTCTTTTTCCTGCTAGACCCCCCCTTAATGATGATAACTCTGCCCAACAGCTGCCACCTCTTCAAACCATCCTTGACAGCCCCCCCTAATGAATGCTATCTCCTCCCACCCGTGCCAGCCACCACAGCAACAAGGCTGGGTCCCCACACAGGCTCGCAATCATGTCTGCTGATGAAGAAAACATGGAGTTTCTAAACTATATGGTTACTGAGTTGAGCTCTTCAGTGACAGAAACAATCAACACTACATTTTTCTTCAAACACAACAGATGATGTCTAATTTTCTCAGTACTCTGTTCATTTTGGCTTGTAGATTTATAGAATTGTTGGTTTAGAGTCTACATCAGGGACCAAAATGACAAACAATTCTCCTTTTTTCAGTAAGTTGAAGGGAGAAGAGTTTTAGAAACCAGAAAATCCAGTTCCTGAATGTCTAAGCAAATACTTCAAGCTAGCTACCCTTTTTCTTTCTCCTCCTCTGCCCCTTCAAACTCTCCAAAGGTGGACACACTGACTGCTCATCTTACAAATTAAGATTCCCAGTGCATCAATATAAAAAATGTTTTAGTATGTTATTCTTGAATTATTTTCTTTCTATATCATAAAAAGGATCTCACATATTTTATGTCCTCCTAATCATATTTTAACCCTTTTACTTGTTTAAAATAGCCAACACTTATCTATTAACAGATTTTATTTAAGTGTCCCTGAGTCTTGTTTTCCCCATATTCTTGTATTATAGAGCTAAATGGACACTGGAGTTGGGGGACCTGGATGTGGGAGTTTGAATGAGAAATATCTCTCACAGGCTCAAGTATCTAAACAGCTGGCAGTGCTGTCTGGGGAGGTTACAGAATTGTTAGGAGACAGAGCCCCTGCTGCAGGAAGCACAGAGATGAGGGCAGGCTGTGGTTGAAAACTGATCAGTCAATTTTCTGACCGGGCACATCCCCTGCCCCCCAAGCCTTCCTAGCTACTATGTATCCTTCCTCTAGAACCACAGGAGAAAAACTCTTCTCGGAGTTGCTTTGATCACGGTGTTCTATCACAGCAGCAAGAAGTAGCTAACACAGGGTGAGGCGCTGAGGACAAGCTCGCACAGTACAGGTCGCTGCGGAGACCCAACCCATTACCTGTGAAACCGACTTGGCAGGTGCACTCGTAGGTGTCCCGGCTGAGCATGTGGCAGGTGCCCCCATTCTGACAGGGGCGGGACACAAAGCAGGGGTGAGAGGTCGAGTATTGGCAATCCTCTCCCGTGAACCCTGGAGCACATCGGCAGGTAGCTTTCCCCAACATGGCCTGTGTCACACAAGTACCACCATTCTGACAGCGGTTTTTCTCACAGGGGTCTCGATGTTGACAATATTCTCCCAAGAAGCCCTCTGGACATCTGTATTAAAAAAAAAAAATTCCATGAAAACCACATGATTTCTTGTGAGTCCAAAGACCAGAAAATGATGTGGTACATGCAAGAAAATATTCAAGTTTGAACAAAGGTAAAGGTACAGCCTGCATACTCCTGACTGCACGAGAAGCGGTGCTTAGAGAACTTACTATATCCCCAAGTCCCTGTGAGTCCTGGCAGGTAAAAATACCAGGTGGGTGACTCAGTAGGGTCTACTAACAGCCAATCCACATGACCCTTCCTCAGAGGTAAAATACACCTACCACATATGTCCACCAGCAACTGTGTAGAGCAGGGAAATAAATAATTCAAGAATAACACTCTAGCTTAGCATAATGACACACACCTACAATCCTAGGATTTGGAAGGGGAAAGCAGAGAGTCAGGGGTTCAAGTCCATCCTAGGCTACATACTGAAATCAAGGCCAGCCAGGATTGCATGAGATCCCGCTTCAAATGAACTTTTTCCCAAATTTTCCAATTAGACCTTTGAGAAGTCATTCCTCTTAGTTCATAAGACACACAGCCACCCCAAACCACACGTGTCACTTATAGAAATGTTCTCTAACCAGCCTCGGAAAGGCTGGGGACTCCACTTTCAATGGAAAAGTTTAATTGGGACCACTAACGACTATGCAAAAAGAACACAAAGACTGTGCTTCTAACAATAATGTGTGCTGTTTGGCTGGAACCCCAGAATGACCTATTTGTCAATTTTACTTTCTGGAGGACAGGAAAGTGACATACAAGCCATTCCACTACTACCTAAAACATCTTTAAACCAAACTAAACCTTCACCCTCAAAACCTAGCTGCTGTAATATCTTCTTTGATGACTGGAAGCATTGAATTCCTTCCTGCTTTTACCAAGCACACCAAAGATGACACCTCATTAGCCATTAGGTTTTTGAGAAAATGAGGAAGGTATGAAACAAGGGAACTAAGACAACATGCTCAGAATTGCGTAGTAGCTGTAATGACTGGTGGCGAAAATAGCTGGTAAACAGGGACAGTGTGGTGATGTAATCAGCTAAGGCCTCCTGCCCCTTCCCAGAACTGTACATGGTAGTGTGGCCCGCGGGGGAGGAGCAGGGAAGACTCTTGAGCTTCTTCATCAAGCAGGTTTCACAGTGATGAAACCAACAGACTGGCTATAGACAGTGAGTGCACTTCAGAAGGACAGAGGACTTGTCAAGAGTCTGGGTGCCGGGACTGAGAGATGGCTCAGTGATTAAGAGCATTCTGTACTTGCAGAGGACCTGAGTTTGGTTCCCAGCCCCCAGATCAGGCGGCTCTCAAGCACCTGTAACTACAGCTCCAGGAGAACCTGATGCCTCTGGCTTCCCTGCACTCACATGCACATACCCACACACAGATACAGACATACAGTGAAAAATAAAATAGTTAATTTTAAGAAGAGTCCAGGCCTTGAGCTGACTGTTTCTCCTCACTGACATCTTAAATAGTTAAAAGGGCTACTTACACCATGGGATTGTGTGAGAACCGGGCAAACTCAAGTATGTGAAAAAAAATATTATAAGTATAACATGCTCAGCAAATAAAAACCATTTTTCTCTCCATGCTTGCTGAGGAAAACATGATGCCTTCTCCAAATCACAGCTTGCTTTGACAATAGGCTGTGAAGCTTCGCTGGATTTCTTTTTTCTTAAATAGAGGCACTGAGAACACCAGTGTGGTGGGGCTAAAATTAACCCTGCGAGGGATTATTAAAAGCACTTGCAGCTTATTCAAGAGCTGTGTTGTGGAAGATGCTAAGAAACTGTATCCCACCTCCCACTCACAGCAACAGGCCTCCGGGCACCAAGCCTGCTGATCCTCCAGGGTGGGAACCATGCACCCTGTGAATAATGGTGTGCCTGGAAACCCGGGTGGGCTCTGCCCAGCTCTGCTCCTCAACTGTTACGCCACCCCCAGCGCTACCATGTGGCATTGGCTGAGAAAACGCAAACTCATTTAAATGTCACCATCATGAACATACAATGAGAACAAGGTCCCCTGGAAAACAGAAATGGGTCAACAGGAGAGTTCTGAGACCTCCAAGATGCATTTCTGAATTCTCTGTTTCGAGGGTTCAATCCAAATAGTCATTCCCTACCAAGTATAGAAAATAAGTTTCAACTAAGTAGATCGTGTTTAAGAAGCTGGCCACAGTGGAAAAAAAGCAAGGAATGCCTTAGAGGTCTGGTGTGGCCCGTTTCTGTATGGCCTATAAACCATGAATGGTCTTTACATTTGTAGACGCTTGAAAAACTTAAAAAATCATATTTTGTGGCACTTGGAAAATATATAAATTCCCATTTCCGCATCCATAAATAGTCGAATTGGAGCACTGCCAGGCTTGCTCATTTGCAGATGGCCATGGCTGCCACAACAACAGAGTAGAACATTTGCAGTGAGACCACATGGCCCACAAAAATATTTAGTCCCTAGAACTTTGCAGAAGTTTGCCAATTCCTCAGTAGAGAAGACATGGAGCCTATTAATAGCATCTAATATGCTTATTAATCATGACATTAATGATGATTAAGAATACTCTACTCGTTTAGTACAAAAAAAATACTAAACTCATTCATTAACTGCTAGAGCAAACACTTAGCAAATACTGACTGAGTGCCAGGCGCTTTCTCTAGTAGTCATGGATACATACAGGTTCAGCATCCAAGGACTCAACCAACCATAGGTCAAAAATGTCTAGGTGGGGCAATATGGCGTCTGCACTAGCCATGTTCAGCTGGCTTTGCTATTCCCTGAATAAACATTGTGACAGCTATTTACACAGCACGAACATTATATTAAGCACTAAAGGTAATGTGGAGATGGTTTAATGTGGGAGTGTATGCACAGATTGAATAAAAAATACTATGTGACTTTATCCAAAGGCTCTGTGGGGTTCCTGGAGCCAATGCCCAGCTGATGTGAGGAACGACTGTGCTGGAAAAGCCTCTGTGCTCATGGATGTAGTTCTAGCAGAGGGCAAAAGCAAGAACATAAAAGATGCATTACAGATCAGGAAGGGATGTGGGGATGGAGCAATGTCTCAGCAGCTAAGAGCATAGGCTGCACTTGTCTCAGCCCTGGGTTATATCCTAGCATCCACATAGTGGCTCACAACCATTGTAACTCCAGTTCCAGGGACCCAGCACCATCCTCTGGGGCAAGAGAGACAATTCAACTTTACATAGGAAAACCTGAGGCAGCTGACTGAGGGGAAAGTGTGTGAGGTAAAGAGACACAGGACAGGGATCACCAAGCACCAAAGCTCTGAGGGTGGAAGCATCTCTAGCTTACTCAGAGAACATCAAGGGATCCTGTACTGCCACACCTCTGGGTGTAAGGAAGAACAAAGGGGGAGGCTGTAAGCTGGCAAGGACATGGGGCCCTTAGTCCCTGTGCAGTCAGGGTTCTCTGCTGAGTCCTTGGGAAGGTACACAGCAGCCAGGCCTCGAAAGCCCACAGCCAGAAAAACCCCTCATATGAAACTAGACTGACTTATAGGTGAAGACCCAATTTCCTACTTAAAATGTCCTGGGCTTACTATTCCTCTATGTCTTTGCATTTACCTTAAAATATATGCAGGTCTCTTCTAACCTCTGGTTTCAACCAAGTCCCTCCTCCCTTCCTTTCTACAAAAGCATACCCATGTACAAACTAGCTTCTCAGCCTCAGTGTGCAGACAGTCCTCTTTCTTTCCATCCACCCCTCAGTTCTCAGAATTCAGCTTTCAATCCAGCAGGCTCCACAGTCACCTCTGAGAGTGTGGACTTGCTCAGGCTTGGCTCACATTTCTCTGCTCACTGCTCGGGAGCCCCCATCCCCACCGGAAGCTCTGTGGGCCACTTCCTGCACCATCTGGAATGTGACCATGCCTCTCACAAGGCCTGGCAAAGTTGGTCTACCTTTTTCCTCTTCCATCATGGCCATTTTCAATTCAAGTCTGGCCTACACTGCTCTTACCTCTACTATACGTTTAGTATGTGTCCTTGTTACAAGGATTTAAACACAACAGACTCCAAAGGCACCGCTTCAGCTTTCTAAGCCGTTTACCTATTATGCCATGTCCTGCCAATGACTTACAGACAAACATTAGGAAAAGATCATTCTCCCGTGAAACTTTCAGGTCTTCCAATTTTCTAGAGGTCATAATTTGACCTCCCTTTTATCTAATCCCTTTAAGTTATATATAATTGCTGATCTGACAAGTCTTGTTAACCGAATTCCTGTAACGCTTATCACTCCTGTTCACAGTTTCCCTCTTGATAGCAGTTCTGATCATCTTAAAAGCCTCAGGCCAAACATCTTGTTGCTGGCTCTTTTCCCACCTCCACGCATCCTTGAAGAAGCTTAAGGCACCGTAAGGTGATGTCTATCGACTGGCATAAGCATTTCTAAAATATTCCTAAGAGGCGGTAACCAGCCCCTGCTTGCACCAACACGCACCAATGGCGGGCCTTTACCACTACATTTACTGCATTTATATTACTGTACTTCATTTGCTGGCCCCGCTGCTGAGCCTGTACCCCAGAACCAGCCACCTGGACCGCAGATCTGGTTCACCATGGAATCTGAACCTCTCTCTTGTAACACAGACTCAGTATGAGTGCCTGCCCTCACAGGTCTTCACATCATCACAGCACTGAGAACACTATGCAGCAAATGGTAAATGTTGGGTATGTGTTAAGTAAAATTACTGGCTTGCTGCATCAACAATCTTTGGTCTTTCCATTATAAGATACATCTTTCTCTAAAATTCTGCCACACACACATACACATAAGCACCACACCCCACAGTAACTGAAAGCATATGTTCATACTAGCATTCTTCATATAAAAAGCGTATGTTCATATGTTTATACCAGCATGATATAATAGCTGAAGGTAGAAACAGCTCAAATACCCATCATCTGAGGAGAAATAAAAGGTATTATATCCACACAATTAAATATTATTTGTCCGTGAAAAGGGATG